ATATATATCTTACCAAATCTTCGTTTGTAACAGTGGAAGCATTGACTTTTCCAGATTTGGTATGAATATTAATTGTCGTATCAATAGTCGCATCAAGAACAACACTATTATTGGAAGGGAGAGTTGTCGACTGTGTTAATTCTAGAATTCTTGCTTCTAATCGTGCATGCTTTTTTGCAAGAGTTTCAAACAGACTTAATAATCTCTGACTAACGTAAGGATGTAAAGATGTGAATTGGGCAGACATGTTTGCTAAGGCTGCCAGACAATTTGTGTGAAGATATTTGTCCTAATAATAATAAAAAATATTATAATTTGTAAATGTGCTATATTAATATACATAAAAATTTCATACTTACTCTCATTTTAAACATATTATATTGTATCGTGCGAATCACTACAAGAATTAAAAGACCACCTAACGATATTTCGCTTATGGATCTCTCAGTATACCATGTTACACCTTTAAGCATCTTGAAAAAAATAATTATTACAATCATTATTTTAATCATTACAGAAATATATTTATAAAATAATGATGCTTACAATTTCATGTATTCGTTTGTTAAACGTTTCATCTTCGCTTAAAATTAGCAAGATAATAAGAGACATATAAATATGATGGGATGTATTATTTGGCGCATGATATAATATTTGTAATATTGGAGTTACCTGTAAATATTTCAACGTGAAATTATTAAATATTATATAAAAAAGAATTATTAAATATGTAAGTAAAAAAAATGAGCGTTGACAATACTTGCCAATAATTGTATGTCAGGCCTTCTCATTATATCTTGTTTTACACTCGAGTTTCTATGTAACAACATGTAAAGAAGAAGCGTGACTTCGTCTGTATTTGGTATTTTACAAATGGTATTATATAATTTATTTAAATTAAATTTAAAGGTATCAACTGCTTTCCCTTGCGATATAGTATGATCTTCTGTAATAAAAAATATATTTTTATTCGCAATATGCAATATTAACATTCTATGTCAGGATACTTATGATTAAATTAGATCAGTCCAATATTCACCTTGCATATCTATAAAAGAGAAAAGCGCGTTCCTATATGGATTTTGTGTAGCAGTACAGTGATTCGTCAGAACCAGTAAAAGTAATAGGGATTGACTAGCGAGCGGAGTTTCCGTATCGCGTTTTTTCTCTTCATCTTCAGCAGTGCCATTATGTGTAACCTGTATATTTTTCGAACTACTACCTATGCCCATTCTTATTACATTCCACAACCCAGCTGAAACGATGCTTTACATTAATGCTTTGTAAAATGGACCGATTGCGTTTTGTGATATTGTCATATTTACCAGCAATACTAAATACAATACTACCCCCCGACTGTTGCGTCAGTAATCCCGGGGGAGCGTGTTCCTGTTGAATAAAATTGTGCAACAGTGTACACACCATAGCAGGTGCATGTTGGTTCAGATGCGCGTGCATCGCTATCCTATATACTGTGCTGTATTCGGCTGCAGTTTGAGAAAATAATTGCACCGAGAGCAACACAAGTAAACAATTAATCGCCTCCAAGTGAACAACATATGTAAATTCACTATAAAAAATATAAATACATTTATAACGGACAGTATGCCTTTTTAGACTTAAATGCTGTTTGAGTATGAGTACAAAGCAGATTTTTTTGCTTTCTGACACCAACCAGAATCGATTGGTTCTGATCAAGTTTTCTTTAATACATGTCTACTTGTCAAAAAACCGAAAATTTGCTTCGTTTTGCTCATAATTTTATAGTATATTGTCTTCACTTACCATAAAGGTACATCCGTAATAAGTTCAATCAATGCTTCAATAAAATATGCTAATCTATAAGAAGGAAGTGCATCATTTGCTGTTTGTGGTGCTTCAATATGATTTAGCATTTGTTCTTCACCAATGATTTCAATAAGGTATTTCAAAATACATCTTACAGCAAACAATGCATTATATGTTTGCCATGCCGATATTATACTGTAAATAAACCATGCAATTTTAGACATAAATCAAAAATGTTTTAAATTCGTTTAACATCGCAATTCATTATGTATTAATGAAGCCAATGCATGCTTACTTTTGATTCTGTACAGGTGCTAATAACTCATTGATGCGTATCAAAGCTATTTGTATCAGAGTACCAAAATTGCCAGTAATCAAATTATTAACAAGTAATTGTTGACACGATGAATCCAAACGAGAATCCAATTCTATCTGATCATTCCTCGTAATAGGTGGTCGTATATTATAAGATAGAAATGTACTCCAAAATGAATCATTCGTTGGTATGCTTTGTCTTCCACAGAATCTTCCCAGGTGTACATTCTTGGAGAGATCTTCATAGCGACTTGGTGTTGCACCCATTGCCCCTAATCTTCTAAAAATGAAAAAATGAAATCTTCTAAAAAGACGAAATTTTTAGAATCCAATAAGAGAATCTATTCTTTTTAGCTGAAATTTTGCACAGTTTATCTCTTCTATTTTATTCTCCGATACAAAAAGAAAAAGAAGGATGAATATTGTGCAAGATCAGCTAAAAAACAACTCTACTATTACTCATATTTTATATATAT